ATTGGTTACTAAAAATGAGGTAAGAATTGGGGGAAGCAGTGAAGTACACTGGTGTGCAAAACTGAAGGACGAAAGTAACTTTCACATGATATCTCACTGCTAGTTAACCTAGGTGGACCAAATTTGGCACATATATAGAAGTAAATGTTGCGGTACAGTGCAGAGAGTTACTAACAGAAAAGCGCAAAGGGGCGATTGGAAAAGACATTTTTCTGCAAATACCCTGTCTGAAGCGGTCGATAGGTGAGGCTTCTCCAACTCATGGTAGACACTCAAAAGAGAGGAGCTAGTTCTTGATGGGGTGTATGAACACTACGGACTGCAAGGTATGCTCTGCTACGTGTTCCCATACAGGCCGTAAGATTAGTTAAGAGTTCTTGAGGAGAAGTGACCGATTCCTTGGAGACCGCGATTGACAACTGCAGGACTATTGTTGGCACATGGTCATGTGCTACAATAGCTCATCTGAATCCACGCCACACGTGCTCCATAGAATTAGACTGGAGGAAATAAATGGCTTCACCAATTACCGAAAATCCTCACTTTTCAAGAGTTTTCCACCCAGGCTGCTCGATACTCTCGCACACTGCCCTCCATACGATTGAAGCTGAGGGCAAGGGAACCCTTGGAAAGATGCACATGACAGAAGGGTACAACACCACAATCACGTTGATCAGAAAGTGTAACGCGATCATGAGTTGGGGATCAGTACGCCCCGACAACTTTATGCCTCCCCACATCATGTCGCATGCACTACCAAAACAATCATGTTAAACGATGGTCCTGGGTAGATTACACGTTCCTATTTTCCCCATATGCAGGTAAGTCCAGAATCACTACTCACATTCAGTTTGCTCTTGACCGGGAAGAATACGCGATTTTTCAATTCGGTGGTCCATCTCCAATGTCTCGGCTCGTACCAAATGTCCCAGCCGAGGCGTGGATTTCAAATGAATACAGGTATTGTTGATCGATGAGAGAGATCACTCCTAGGCGGTCACTGCGCCACTGTCCGGACTGGGATTACATGCCTTACAATCCTGATAAATGTTTTTGCAACTGCAGCATGTGACTGACGTGGGTCCATTTTTGCCTGTAGCAAAACCTAGCAATCACCTGCTGCTGCGGTTGTTCGTGACCCACAACCTCCTCTTCTTGGGACAGCAGTGGCTGCGGTCCACATTGCTTCTCATGCACAAAAAACAATGCTGTGGTTGACACAAAACTCCTGGACACAACTTCCTTTTTTCAGTTTCCCAATGATTCTTCCTCGCGTAAAGTCACCCTAGTGTTGTCTCTGAGACTTGATGTAATCAAGAACACCACTACATTCCACAGTCACTTCTCCCTGCTTAGTTCACCCCTCTTGTCCTGCCCCACGATACCCATCGTTCTGGGTGGCCACCCCATTTAGGCTCCAGATTGAAGCCGGATGCAAGACATATGAGGCCCACTTCGGTGCCCATGACTGTAGGGCTTCTAGCATTATGCCCGTACAGTTTCATCCAATTCCATCTAATTGTTAATAAGTTAGGACAATTTATCTATCTGGTCCTTAAGTTTTGCACACCAGTGTAGTTCGCAGTTGAAGAAATGTATAAAGTCTACCTGAATGAAAAGTAGCCTGGACTGTAGTATCTATGCTAAGTATGCCGCTGAGATGTCAAAGGTTTGGTTTGATTAACTGTGTTCTTTTATAGCGTCGGACGTGGACTTGTTGTCTCTTGGCACTGGAGAGGTGCCTTTCATTCAAACGCCACAAACCGGACGGTACTGAATGTGAAGGCGCTATCGGAAACTGGGACTCGACACTCGCGCGATGTAGGTCATGGTCGTCAACACTTTAGCAATCCACGGCTCGGTGAGCTTGATTTTGCTTTTAAAGGAATCTTCCGCGGAAAAAGCTCCGCCTCCATTACCACAGAAAAACGATACCCCTTAGAGCCCCCCTAGCCTCATGAGCATAGCAAAAAGAACGGAACATAAGCGTTAGTTTCGATAATACTAATCCTACACACAAGACAAAATGATCACTCTTTCCGTGGAAGATTCCTTTAAGGTATCGTTTTCTGTGGTAATGAGGGCGGAGCTTTTTCCGTGGAAGATTCCTTTAAATGAATGGATTCTATCGACCGAGCTAAATTTTTGTTTGTCACTCGTGACGGTAAACAACTAATTTTCACCCTATTTCTTGAAGCGTTCATTTTCTAACATTCCTCATGTGTGAAAAATAATAGACAGCTAGAATGTAACAATCAGTGATTAAGCTGGAAAGCATATGTGCTATCAGGATGAAGCATTTTTAGTCCAATGTTCATATCCCTGAGCTTCATGTTATGTAATTTTGCAATGGAGAGACGGGATTAGCCGGCGTCGCAAACCCCCCCCCCCCCAGCAAAAAGAGAGACTGATTGAAATTAGCTCCACGTGCCTCTTATTCGTTAAACCAACACCCCAGCAAAAGTCGTGTCGAAGAATCTATTCAGTGGGGGATAGAGTAGCCCACGAGTAGCACAGATGTGCCGTTGTCGCGGCTCGAAAGTGCGCGACAATGGCGCTAGGGTCTTACAAAGTCAGCATTTGGCGACTAATCTTAGCATTTGGACGAGTTACGTCGCGCACACCCCATGACACGCAACGTGGATTACGGCGTAGCGGCTAATCAAATACGCGCGGGTTAGTTGAGCCGTGGAGCAGGCAAGTTCGTACAACTCGTCTGGCCCCGCCCCTTCCTTTTTCAGGGAATTTTCGTTTTGGGCTTCATCGACGATTTTCTTTTGCTTCCATTTCATTTTTAGTCAACGCGTCATCCACAACAAAGTTGACGGGGACCCACCAAACTCGATGTGGAGGTAATGCTTCAGCAGATTGCGTTCATTAGAAATATAGGAAACAAAGGAAGCCTCCACACGAGATTGCCCGCGAAAAACTGCAAAACCGATGAGAAGTCTGGCAAAGTTCCATACTCTTTTCCGAGTTAAGTGCAGCTTCAGGTTTATTTCTGGTGAGTTACGAATGTAGAGAACATTGTAGATATTCCGCCCAGACCTCAAAAGGGATTCCTAAGTTGCCTTCATATCGTCCCCATAAGCACTGCGACAATCAGCTCGCCAAGCAAGGAGGCGCGGCTTTCAATTCAGGTTGTCGTACGTGGCGAATTCCACTAGCTTGTCTGAGCAACATATGTTCCTCCTTTTTCTCAGCTTACAAATTTCATACGTTCTATTGAATGCTTGCAAATTATTTCTAGGAAGTTCTGTATTGCGTGAAGCAACTTCAATTCGAACACATTGAAGAATACTGGACGTCGTTCTGGCAACCCGAGGACGATCTGGAAGACGAAGAGTGGGTTGAGCTATCTCATTCTAGCCTGCTCGCGATACCTCGCCATTTCCGTCTAATTTCAGCAAATCTCTCGGTCAAACACGTCTTTCCCAACAGCAGCTCTTCTCTCTCTGCACGCTTCCTCAGATCCAACACTGGATTATCAGCCTGGATTTGGCCTTCTACCAAACCATTGTCGACATTCTTGTGCCCGATGTGCTGATGAGCAATATGTCGCGTGCGATTTTACAAATACGTTCTGTTTAGAATCAGTTTCATCACAGTCTCACTGTTCCAGCTTTCCTCACGCAGTCATGTCGAAACTTTGCCAAAAATGCAGAGCACTATCTGAAGAAAGCCATGCAAGGCGCTCCCGAAATCATTCAG